ATTCGTAAATTTACACCCTTAAGACTTGCTTGACCAGTAGGCTTTGTTAATGAATTACCTGACCATACTATAATATTTTCTTGAGCAGGTATTCGCCAATCACCAGGATGAGAATAATCTAATACATGAACAAAATTCACACCATTCGAAGAAGGTTGAGTATTTTTTGCAGTATAATACAAACCAGTTATGCGATTTGTTACATTATAACTAAATTGTATAGGACCAGATATACCAAGAAATTCTGTTCTAGTAACTGCATCTAACAATAGATTAGATTGAACAAAACGACAATTAAAACAATATGAAGATTCAAAAAATGATAAACATGAAGAAGAATTATTTATTTTTGATGCACACAATTTTTGTAATGATTGAATTAATGTCCATGTTGCATCAAATGCAAATAATGCATAATAATCTACATTCATTGATTCAGGAAATGATTCAGGTTCATATTGTTGCCATATACTATATGCTGCATCTAATAATGTTGTATTAATTAATGCATTGACAACTGATCCTGTAACTGGTTCAATTGAAAGCATTCCAATTAAATTTTGATAATATGTTTCATTGAAATAATTTATCGAAATAGCAGAACTTAGTATCCATGTAAAATATGGACCAACTACATTAGAATCAAGAGCATCTTGCAAGATCAAAGGTGTATAAGCAGATATAGCCCATAACACAACAATTCTTGTTGCAGCATTAGTTAAAAGGCTTTTCAAATCACCGCGAATACTAAGTGTAGCAATATCAAATTCAACTGTTCGTTTAACTGCTAAGCCACTTGCATTAAATGAATTACTTATACTTCTAACTCCACCAAGTCCAAATGCATCATTTTGATAAATTACTGTACATGATGTCCAGTTAAATCGAATGAATAGTTTTACAAGAGCTAATGCAGCTAGATCATCTGATGGAACTGTACGATAAAAATTAGGGTAAACGTTTCGATTAGAAAGATCAGGATCAGTTGCACTATATGATATGACAGGTATACCAATCTTTTGAGCAAAAGGAGCAATTATTTCAGCTTCTCTTGATAAATATGGACCAACGATACCAACAATATTTGAAGTAGACAATGCATGACATACAACATCCACAACATCTATCACAGCACCGGTAGATTGCCCTTCTTGCCATCGTATGAACTCTCCTCCGGTACTAATATTATATTGATGGGCAAGAACTATTGCTGCTTTAAACATAGCTAAAGAATGGACATTCGAGTTGGTAGAATCAGACAAGTTTGATATTTTGAGAAAAATGCCTAGCAAGCGAAAGCTAGAAGAGTTGAACAACGGCCAACTTGTTGCTACATAGTGTGTCTTGATTTGCAAAAGAATAAAGTATAACAAGAAACATCGAATATTCCAGAGTAATAACATTGTCGTTTGGTTGTCCAATATAAAAGATGAATGAATTAAGTGTCGAAGAACAACAAGCTATATTAAAATTACATGCAAAAGCAAACTAATCTAGAAGATGTTAGAGAAATCGAGCGAAATTGCTTTTGTTATATTTTTATATGGTTCGATATAATATGACGAGTTCGATAAGAATATCTATCGATATGAAAAAATACAGAAGAGATAATTTTACAAAAGATTTTAAAATAACCTTGAAAAAATGAAGTTTATATTTGTGGGGTGTTGGTGTGGGTGGGCGTGGGTGCGTGGATGTGAGTGAAGGTAGGTGTCGATTGTGTGGGTGTGGATGGGATATTCAGTTAGAGTAGACACATCCACACCCATATCCACACGCACACCCACCCACACCCCACACTCACACCCTGCAAATGTAGACGAATGCTCATAGAATTGACTTAAAACGAAACACTTCATATCACTCATATTTAGGTCATTATTGCATAGATCTCTCCATCGCTCTTTCTCGCAACACAGCGTATTCCCGAGCACTACAATACTAAAGCTAATAATTTCTTACAACGCGTGAAGTTTATCGAATTTCAAAAAATTATAAAATTATTTCTAAAAACGTAAGCTAATGCATTTGCTTCAATGCATTATCCATGATTAGAACATGTTTATGAATAATGCATTGTGGTGCATTGAAAAATTTTACTATTTCAAAGGAATTTCAACATTATTTCTGAGCAATGCATTGGCATGCATGTTTCTTTAGAGCATTTTCAATGATGATAACATTATTGCTGAAAAATGAATTGCCATACATTTTTCTGCATAGTATTTCCACTAAGTGTAACATTATCACTGAGCAATGTATTAATATGGATTGCTGTTTCATGCATTTCTGGGCCATTTCTACATTATTTCTAAAACTCCATCTCAACCCATTGAATATCAATTCGTTATCCATCATTAGAGCATTATTTATGAAAAATGTATTGAATTGCATCGAAACTTCGAAAAGTAATGCATTGTCATTAATTATTTTACATTTTCCGCAAAATAATGAATAGCAATGCATTGTTTTTCCATTATTTATGCATTTTCGACTACATGGGTGTCGCTGGTCAACAAAGTACCTCGAAGCTAACAACACATTTCATAAGCTGACGCTGGTGCTCTTTTCATTTGACAAAGAGTTTCTTTTTATCTTTTCTGAGTAGTAACCGTTCCCATGTGATGGTGATCAATGCGCGACCATGGTATTTAAAATTGTTCATCATGAACTAGCCATAGACTTCCTTTCTTTTCAGGATGGAGACTAGGCGATCTTGGGGCTCTTTACAATTATTCATCATTCGACAGCTTTACCCACCGTTTTTTTGGGATGGGGCACTACAGGGTCGGGGGTCCTTAGAATTATTCATCATTCTATAAATTTAGACCCTTTTTTGGGATGTGGGGACTAATGGGTTTTGGAGATTCTTTAGATTTACTCATCATTCAACAGCTATACAACCTCCTTTTTTATGGATGTGAGGACCAGGCCGTCTTGGGGGGTCGTTAGCTGCTGAATGATGGATAATTCTAAAGACCCCGTAAGACCCCTAGTCCTTCCATGGTTTAAAAAATGGGATGCATAGCTATTGAATGATGAATAATTCTGAAGATCTCCCAAGATCCTCTAGTTCTCCATCGTTAAAAAAGGAGGTGTATATCTGTTCAGTGACGAATAAATCTAAAGAGCCGCGAAGACTGCCTAGTCCCGCAATGCCTAGAAAAAAAACGGGGAGCTGCAGGAGTGAGGTGGAGGAGAGGTATTGATGTTCTTCAGTGTTTGCCAGAAATGAATGATGGAAGTCGGGTTTTTTGTTAGTTCATTTTTTGTCGGTGAGCGGTCGGACATGCCACTCAATCACTTTAGTATAGGTTAAGTGTATGGCTTGTGATGTTATTGAAGAATTATGCTCTTTTTCAGCCCGCCTAAACTTCCCTTTACTCAGAATAGTTGGCTAGGTGGTTTTTTGCAAAGTTTAGTTTGAAATCAAAATGCTCATTGACTCGCAAGTACAGCACAATGAAATCATCTTCAAAAGTCATTTGTAGAGAGAAAACAATTGTTCACGTGGCAATATGGAAAATCGTCGTACCCGTCATAGGTAAAAACATTTATATCCATGATGATTGAAAATATACCCGTACTGCACCATAGTACTAGAAGAAAGATGACTTTCACGTCACTGTTACACCGCGATCAGAACTAAGCTATATCCGCAGCAGTTTGGGCTGTGTTCGATTCTAGTTCATCTGGGCAACAGTCGTGCTCTAGCTCGCCTAGAGTTCCTGTTGCTTTGGGAAGCCAAATCGGCAATCGTATCTGGAAACATAGAATTTCATTTCTTCAGACTAAACCTTGTTTTTAAGGTCATGTTTTATCTGTAAAAAAAATTTTCTTCTTCAAAAAAAAAGCCAATCTTATGTCAATAAGTAAAACTCAAAATTTTTCACATCTGATTGCAGATTTGGATTTCCTATGGTTGATTTACTTTCCTCGACATTTACAGAGCATCATGATTTATCAAAAATACTTTTTCGTTCGTAATAACCACATTTCTACATCAGGCTATTGCATTTTGGACACTGACCGTACGTGCGATTATCGGCAACGTTGCGTCCAAAACCGAAGTCAAACCGACGGAAACCCAAGCCGAAGAAGTCACGAGCCTACTCGGTCCCAACTCAACAGAGGCCGAAGCCTAACCGAGTTCGATTCTAGCCGAGCCTGAAAGAGCCCAAGCTTAACCAAATTGGAGCTTAAAGACTCCTGAGAGAATCTAATTTTTCGAAAAAATATCGAGGTTGAGTTTCCATTATAGGAAGGTGTATCACATATTCCTCTTTCAGAATTCATATAGTGTTTTGTTGAACGACCCGATTTTCAGAGACTTATTACAGAAAACTTCGACTTTGCCATCATGTTTTCGAATAAATTTTCCATGGTTTGTAAGATCCCTCAAAAATCGATCTTAGCCTAGGAACGTTTCAGTTGCATGAAATTTCTAGAAGATGAGAGGGATGTAATAGAGAAGCTATGATAAAATTTTCAGGTCAAGACAATGGTGCTTGAGGAAGATATGTGATTTTTCTCTGAATTTGAATGAAAAAAACTATTTCCAGAGCTTCTGGAGTGTTTTTCTCAGAACATAGTCTCCAATCAGAAAAAATGGAACTTCTCCCTCATTGTCGAGCCATAACTAATATTATTTTTTTTTGTTTTAAAGGTCTCAAGGAGAATGAATTTTTGTCCGAACTGATGTTTTATAGCTGGTTTCCTACACTAAGAAAAGTGGGACCCGTTGTCGTTGGACCACCATTTTTTACGCTAATTTTAAGACCATTCTGCTAAAATGCTTACAAAACATGAGTAATATGGAATATTAAAATTCTGTTCGGATAAAAGTTGCGTACTAACATTGGCTTTAATTTGAAACCAGCCTCAGCTCTCCATTTCATGTTACGACGAAGTTTTATCAACTCTACTGAAGGCCAAAATGGCCTATGAACCAGCTGGAAATCCGGTCTAGTACAACCAATCGAGTTGAAATTTTTACCAACAGCATATGCCTCCAGGATCAGTCATTCCTGAAAATTCCAGCACAAAAGGACCAATCTGAGTAGAAAATCGTTTCTGAAGCAGCTCCTTAACCGATCTCAAGCCGACGGAACCTCGTGCTCAAGCTTTACTCAACATAATTTAACACGAGTTTGACAGAATCGGAGTTCAACCAAGCCTAATCAAGCTCAAGCCTAATTGAGTCTAACCAAACCCGAGCTGACAAAGTCCCGAGTCTAACGAAGATTAAGTCGATATAGCCATGAACTACTCAGACTCGGTGTACTCTTGCTTGTACCGCATTGCTGCCACTACTGATCCAAAGAAACCTTTCAAAACTCCGTGCCAACCATGCACTATATCACAAGTATTGGTATGAATTCACCGGATTCATGTAGTTCCTCAGTGTTACACTTACGAATACCGCAATCTTGTGCGAATCGTTTTAATTTTCCAGTGTCATGTAAAAGGAATGCCACTGCGGCAATTGCATTCTGTGAATGTCTCCTGCGTCGTGATGATTTTCAAAAAGAATTTTGCTACCGCACTGCAATGGATACCGTGGGTAGTAGGTACTACTATGTAGAGAAAATTTCTTATTTAACTATGATAACAAATAAAGTACTTCAGACAACGAAAGATCGTTTCGAGCAGTGAATATAACCGATTTGTCAAGGACGAATCAACAGAAGCCATTGAAAGGTAAATGTGGAAATCTCGGATTTAAATCCGAGTGTTACGTGTACTTCAAAAAGTAAACTAGACAGATGAGTCATCATAGTATGTGTCGGCATCAACATTATCCCAGCAAACCGTTTTTCTTAAAATATGATTTTTATTGTTTACTACACTACTCAAACAACAGGATTTTGGAGGCAATGGAAGCTCAAATTCAAGTTATTCGCCCGAGAAAATCTTTGTTAAAGTTTGATATAACCTCGAAGTATCACTTCTCTGATTGGATGATGAGACTTTAATTTTGCATTAATCACAGCGTGAACAAACACAGAAGCAATTTCCGTTAAGTAACTTTCCAATAGGTGACTTAGCCTTCTTCTTTCTTAATGTTTTATATACCATTTAGTAGCCCGTTAAATTCTCCATCGAATGGTACATAATAGCTGAGGTTTTGTTAGCTTATGAGAAAAAAAAAGTTTTTTTTTTTATGAAAACCGGGATAGATCAATGTTTGTATAGGAAAGCATAGGAAATAATGATATTTTTT